ACGTAAACAAAAAAAAGCGCACACGACCCTCCTATTGACTGGAGCGCCTCTGCCGGTTCTTCCGTCTCAATGGCACCCTCTCCTGGTCCGGGGCGCTGAGGAGCCACGTCTGCAACTCTGACTTGTCCAAGTTTTTCCCAAGAGCCTTCCACGTGCGGGCCCTCAGCGACAGGGCCTTGTCTGTCTTGTCAGGACCCTGCCGCTGAAGCGCCGAGCTGGATGAATCCTCCGCAGCCGGCACCGCCACCTTCTCCTCCTCCTCCTGGCTGTGCCTCTGAGACTTGGAGCCCCCCTGACTTCGCCTGTAGCCCCTCTTCTTGATGGAGGCCAGCAGGGCAACCCGACTGTGGCGTTCCTCCTGCTCGGTGGGCTTGTCCTCATCCTCGCGGGTGTCTTTTGTTTGGTTGAAAGTTTTTTGCTGCCATGTGAGGAACTCGCCTAAAGTGTCTTTAAGGCCCGAGGCAAAGTCGGCATGGGTCACGGTGGCCTGGTGGCTGACCTGCAGCACAACGGCCAAGGACAATCACAATTAGAACATTGTACAATTGTAGATGATGTTTGGTCAACTGTTGTTGACCAAACATAAAAAAATAAATAAAATAAAAAGTTGAGTGAAGTCATTTCAAGGGAACAAACTGATAAAATTTGAAGTTGGGCAATTCAACAAAATGTTTTAAGTTTTGCTGATGTGAAAATTGGCTCTCTCATATTTTCAAAGAAACAAGAGTTTACAAAACTAATTGTCCATTGTAAGTAAAAACTGACCAAATTGCCTTGATTGCTTTGTTGTGCTCACATTGCCATAAATGTCAATCAATTATATTTTTAAGCTGTTCCAACTTAAATGACTGTTTTCGTCCCATAAAATACCACTTGTTTTTTCCTACAGGGCAGGATGTTTCATACATGTTGGATATATTGTCAATGTCATTATAATTGCCTTTAACAGTAGTTTGACCTGTAAATTTACCATAAGCTATGATCGCCAAAACCTAATACAACGTCAAACTCATTTTTCAACATGACCCTTAAAAATAAATGGCTTCCAGATGTGTTCATTTCGAAAAAAAGTAAAACAACAACAACCCCAAAAAACAAAACAATGCACCAGAAGACTCAGGCGAAAAATCTCCGGAACATCCACTAAAAACCCAGGCTAAATTTGGCACCTTTCTCACAAACAAAGTCTTCCAGTCCAGATGTACAATATCACTTTAACAGCTTTCCTTGACACACAGTACTACTTTCAGAGCTTAGGCGCCATGATGTGGCATCAGAAAAATAATGCAAATATGTCAATCAAGCGATTACAGCTGGAATAATAATCCTTTAAGTTGATTCATAATTAAGAGGCAGTGGCTCTTAGAATGCAATTTGAAAACGAGAATATTCCGATACATTTTGAACAGTGGATAGTGTATGTGAATAAATTGTATTAATATGGGCTAAAAACTATTTTGAGTTTAAGAGATAGGACTAGTAACTCCCCACCAGGTGAAAACAGATTTTTCATTGTACTGTAGGCAGTTTTACTTCGTTTTGCCTGTTTTTTTTAAATTCAGTTAGTTTTAACTAGCTTTCAGACCAGGTTTGTTAGTTTTTTTTTTGTTTATATACACATACAGTCTCATAAGTCTCCATACATATATGCTTCTAACGTTTCTTTATATTTCAGACAACCCTTGAGAATTAATTTGAATAAAGAGCAATGAATTGAAATCATCCTGATGGCCGGTTCAGCAAGCAGTCGTAGGGTTTATGTCAAGAAACTTCTATTATACA